CTTTGTCTAACCTGATAAGCTGAGAGCCACGCCAAAACGAGTCTTCTCCGAGCAGAGACCAAGTTAAGAAAGGACTCCACAGGAAGTGGGGGCGTGTCAAGCTTTGGCTACTTGGTCTCAAGAGCAGGCAGACAGAGAAAACCCATCCATGGATTATCCATCTCCTGTACTGGAGAAAGCCCTCCTCCGCGGCCTCGCCAAATGGCACTGCTTGGCCGACGGGACCTGAAGGAGGCCCAGCCTGTGGGATCTAACCGGACGAAGGGAACTATGAGGTAGTAGGCGGTCTCGCAAATAGCCTGGCCCTGAGCAATACTTATTTTAAAGCAATACTTATTTTAAAGCATTAAAGAATCAGACATGAATTGATAATATAATTACTCATCCATATGAAACAATCTACTCACTCAGGATATATGTTTGTGGAGCTCAATGTAATACAAGAAACCCCAACTCTCACCCCCCAAACTCCAGAAAGCAGAGGAAATACAGGTTGTGCTGCTATTTGAACCAGATAATGTGGCCTGAGTATACTAGACTAGAGCATTTATGGCATACTCAAAATCTGTATGGAAGAAGTGACAGAATTATTTCCAGTGAAGAAAACTATTCCAGTTGTTGCACTGCTTTTGTGCCCATTTTCTATATATAGTATTTGGATGGATCCAACACATAATCAGAGAACAAGATTTTCCTGTACTACAGTGGTTTTTTTCCACTGACTCTTCCTACATTCTAATCTGTTTAGAAATTATGCTCAAATTATCTTTAAAAGTTTCACTGTGCATGAGAAAAAAACAAAAAGAGTAGCCTAAAAGAAATCCACTGTCTGATATAGTAGATAAGCCAAATTGGGGCACAAAAGGGATGGGAAAGACAAACGGGTGAATTCAAGTGGGATTAATTATATCAGGTTTTCATTTTGCCCCGTTGATTGACATAAAGCTGAAATTCCTTGCATTCTTCTCTCCAGAAACTGTTAAAATTATCAAAAAGTGAAACATCTGCGTTTTCTGTCTGATGGACTGCCTAATTCAGCACCATTCCTGTGTCACCATTCATTCTTATCATATCCATTCAAGACTTCAGCTTGATGTAAAAAAAAAAGTTTGCACTGTTTTAATATGCTGCTGTTGCTGCATAGTTTCTTTTAAATATCAGGATAATCATTTTGAAAAGTTTTATACAAGTATTTGGCTTTTGGGTAAACTATCTGTACTTGTCTAATATATAAGAAAAAAAAATTCCTGGCAACATCAATTGTGTTATCTGTCCTAAGAGACTCCTAGAATAGATCTTTTTCATTCATAGCATCTGTCAGGACTCCAGATAATTTCTCCTCATACTAGAAATCCTCCTTTTTCCCCTGTTTCTTTTTTCAAAACACTGGAGAGGGAACAATGGAATACTTAGGTGATGTCCTTTGGTGATAGCAAGAAGAATCCCCTAGTAGTTGAAGCTTCATGATTTTAATATGTTAACTAGAACAAAGGTACACACAACCTGAAATCCCAAGATTACATATTCCCAAAGCCATAGGCTTAGTGTTTAGTGCTCTTCCACACTTAAGCAGTAATAATAACTGAATTTAATTTTATGCAAATTACAATTTTACTTTAGTCCCACCTGTTACATTCTGTTTACCCTGCTTGGTTATTTAAGTCTGGCTTTGATGTACCAACAGCAACTCTCAGGCTGGAAAGAATTATGCACACTTACATTAGACAACCTCATCTTCTGTAATGAACCTGAGGCTCTATTATTACTCTAATTTGATTGGCAATATAAGAGGTATCAAGATCCCCAATCCAGCCTGGATTTTCACTGCATTGGTTTAATCCAGTTCAAAAGGAAGATTTCATACAGAAAGTGAGAAAGTGGCTTGACACTCAAGTACTTGAGGATCAGTTTTGACCCACCCACCGCAAATCTCTCAGGAAAATATGCTTGTAATTCCCCATTCCCATGAAGTAAAGGTAGGATGGAAGGTCAAAGAGACCCCTTCTCATTGGGTGCACCTACATTTGTAACAGTCCTCCTCATCTTCTCCCCCCCCCCCATTATTCAATCTGATCCAATTCTACTTAGTTTTCAACAACTTACAGAAAACAATTTTGGGAGAACCCTAGAAGAATATGTTGGTGCCATTAGACTGAACAATGCATGATATTTCCTTTAATTTTTTACAATGGATCTTTTAATTTTTTCTATGTATATTGTTTTGATTGCAGCAGAGTACAAATTCAGTAAATATGTATTTTAAAAAAGCATTTTCTCAAAGCCCCTCCCCCTTATATATATACACAGACACATCTGTACCTTTTTCAGCATTTAATGGGGCAGTAGAATCCAAAAATACCTGATTCATCTTAAAGTTGGATTCTGACATCTCATAATTCAAAATATTTTTATTTTATTTAGATTTAGAACAGAAAAAAGTGCCGCTTTTTTTATTAAGTAGGGAGTCTGGAGATACAACATACAACTTTTCATCAGCTTGTTCATTAATTAGTCATTTTTTTCCATACTCAGACTGTTCATATCCATGGAAAACAATAACAAGCAATGTTATAATTTTTTGGCATTTTGGAATACTTTCACAATTTCTAGTTCAATTACAAGTACAAATATTCCATAAATCCAGATTTCCAAGCCTAAACTATGGCAATTCTGCTAACTTTATCTGCTCCGTTGCCCTCTCTCCTTTATAAAACAAAAACCTGGAAGCAATTTCTTAAGAAGATGGAGTTAGTGAAGCAGATATTGGCCTCACTTTATCACCATAAAAAAGGTTACAATGAATTATTCAAATAATGTTTTGTTATTCAGATAGGAGCATAAAGCACTGCTTCAGGAGAATACTGACAGCTTTATTGGCAGAACCTAATCAGCAGGATAAAGGGTATTCGACAGGATAAACCCCTTTCACTTTCAATGTGCTAACAAACTAATGGGGGGAAAAAACAAAACCACCATACTTTTCAAACAAACCACTTGGGAAGGAATAGAGACAAAATTTATGAGTTAAACATCATTAAATCCACAGTTTTACACTGAAGAGGAAACAAAGTAAGAGTTTTAAAGGACATAGATCTTCCTCAACAAAGATGGAAGGAAAATATTGGCTGTGACCCAGCTGGGAAAAAGACATATTAAAGTACTAATTGAAAAGGCTTTGTTGAATCCATGTGGCAAGAAGAAAGTGACAAATCAGCAGCTGCCTTTCAATGACCTGAGAATTTTTTGAAATAGCTTTTAAACTTAAAAAAAAAAAAGATATAGTGCAGGGAGCAATTTGCTTGTAAAGTCAAGTACATTAAAAGCTGTATTTGGTTTTAATTTGATAGACAAGCTTGTGCAGTCTATATAGGCCAACATCCATGTGTTTTACTCCTCAGCTCAACTGTTCCTAATTAAGCCCTTCAGATATCACCATTTGGGGTCCAGGCTTAGATTCTATACATGCTCTCAAGTGTTGAAAGGGAACTGCCATTACCTTACATAATAGCATGGCTTAAATTGGTATGCAGTAAAACTTTAGGTAATAAGTCTTTTGGGCAGACTTAAATAGAAACCCCAAATTTCTGCTGCTTTTGGAATTTTTGACTCTAAAGGATTTATTGCATGCATTGGATTCAATCTGCCACATTTTAACTATGGCTACACATCTGGTCATAAAAGGGGCTAAAAGGTACCGCTAGACGGGATACTTTTTCCTTCCTCCTTACAACACATCAAACATTCTTACAATGACAGATGTTTGTGCAGCCTTCTAGCTTTCATTCAGTGAAATGCACTGCCACTGAATTCTTGAAATCTCTGCCTGCCTTCTCAGTAGCAACTTCAGCTCATGAAAGCTCTACAAACTTGGATTAGACATTAGAATTAACACACAAATGCATATCCAGCTGTGGAGTTAGATAAGCAGAAGTCACTTTTATCAACTTCAGTCCTAAAGTATATTTTTAAGGGGCTGGCAGGGAGAAAGGACTAAGAACTGAAACTTAATATAGGTGGGCCAGTTCTATCCATTAGAGAAGAGTTGCATTAACTCAGGAGCCAAAAAAGCAGGACAGTCTGGAAGCACCTTTTCTGACTAACACATTTTATTAAAAGGCACAATGCTCACTTCATCATATGCTATTCTATCCAAATTTCTTTAAAACAAAATTTGAACTAAATAGAATTTATTTCAAAGTATGCACAAGACTGCTAGCTATAAAACTAGATTACATTGCTCTTTAAAACAAACTTTAGGGGAGAGAAGCATTTAAATTTAACAAATTCTTCTATTGTAAATTAAAACACAGACTTCTCTCCACCAAGCCTGAATCTAAAGCATCACAGTGATTGGGGAAAGGTTAATTTTTAAACCAACATTTATTTAATCCTCATTTGGAAAATAAAACAAAGTCCTAGTGATTTGTTTAGACTGCATGGTAATTCTTTGTTCCATGATAATTTAACAAGAGAATGCTAAATTTTAACCCAGCCATATGTTCACTTATAACAGCTCTTTGGTCGCACAAATTTATCCCTGGGATTAAAACCACAATATTAAAAACCAGGGCTGAAAAACCCACACAGCCACATTTTCCTTCCTATAACAACTATCCAACTTGCTCTACAAGAGCCGCTTTTCATAACGGTAAAAAGCCATCCTTCAAACACCGGGGCTCTGAAGAGGACCGTGTAGTTTGAAAGAAAACAAAATGTGTAAATTATTTCTCCATTAGAACCAAGTAGGTATCTACATGGAGAGGAAGGTTTTTTTTTTCTTTTAAGTTTCTTAACAAGCTTTTTTAAAAGAAAAAAGAAGAAGCAGAAGCAGCTTCTAAGCCCCTATTTAAACTGCAGAACGCCTGTCAAGAAGGGAGTAAAAGCAGATCCAGGGGTTAGCGCGAAGACAGTTAAATCAGAAAACTGTGTTTGAAGCACCCCCCTCCTCCTCCTCCTGTACCTAAAGGGGACAAGAGGATGGGCGGAGGAGTTACACTCACCCGGGGCCCCGTAGTTCTGTGGAGATGGACCTGGGGGAGCAGCAGTAGCGAAAGCAAACGGGCAGTCACCAAGCCCCCAAATCTGGCAGGCATGGTCTCTCGGGAAGCAGGAAGGGACAGCTCAGCCTCAAGACAATCCACTGCACGACAGCGGATCGAGGAGTTAATTCTAAGGGGCTTCGACTTGCTTCTGCCTCTTCTTTTTTTTTAAGCTACGATCCGAAGAAAGCCGAGTGTCGGCGCTTTATCCCCCTGCCATACACTCTGCGCGCAGACGAGAGCGAGGACGCTCTGCCCCTCCAATCGCAACAGGTTAAATGCTTCAGCCTGAGCCATTGGGAGGCAGGGTTCCCATTATAAACCCCACAGCCGGCGCAGGGCGGGGCCAATTTAGGCCGGGCTGGATGACTGACAGGCCGAGGGCTCTTTCCCAGCCTCCCCGGGCTTTTTACTCCCTCTCCCTCCCCCCCCTCCCCCGCGGCATAACCCGTGGAAGCAGAGGGCTTGGTCATTTCTTTTCCTCAGTGCCCGCGCCTCCGATGGTACCTCTCATAAGAGGCGCCCTTCCAAGAAAGCCTCAAGAACCTGTTTCTGTTCTTGCTGAGCAGCGCCTGTTTTCTTCTTTTTTCCAGTTTTATCCTAAACACCAGAATAACTCACTCCATTTTCTGGTTTTTCATGACCGGCTGAGCTTCAGACTATTTTCACACGTGCTGATTTTCCTAAGCTAAAGTATGACTGGGGGAAGCCACCTTCTCCACCAATACAAACCACAACCGGGCCAAAGACCGTTGACTGAGATCTAGGCTACTGGTTGCCCACCCCTCTTGCAGCAGGAATGGGCAATTAATAGCCTATGCACAAATTTTTAAAAGTTGTGACAAAAAGCGTTCTGTTCTGCTCTGGAAGCATATTAGTGAGACAGGTGGGGAGAAGGAGGAGGACCTGCCTCTCCTGGTTTGGCCCTTATTAATTGCTGGTTTTAGCATTTTCCCACCAGTCACTAGTGACCTCGGACAGATACCCCTGAAGCAGTGGTTCTCAACCTGTGGGTCGGGACCCCATTTGGGGTCGAACGACCATTTCACGGGGGTCGCCAAACAAGGCTGTCCGCCATTTTTTTCCCCTTTTCTTTGGCCATGCCCCTGGCACCCAGTGATGTATAAGTGGTTGGGGGTCACCACAACATGGGGAACTGTATTATGGGGTCACGGCATTAGAAAGGTTGAGAACCACTGCCCTGAAGGAAACATAATGTTTGAGAAGCCTGCTTTGCATGTAAAAGTAGTACATACTAAACAAAGAATCCTAAGTGTGCATCAATGCACACTTAGTTGGTAGGATACAGGCAACATCCCTAGTGTAGAGAGTAGAGAATCCAGCTTGCATTGAATAGGGTGAGTTCGCTGGCAGTAAAACTGGGCTTCAGAAGTTCTTGTGACATATTGTCCTTGTTTGTTGGGAAAGCTGCATCTGACACCCATATGACTTAAGGCTGATAACCAAGTCTAGTCCTTCTCTATTTTACTTATGTGAAAGCCTCAGCTGGTCAAAGCCATGAAGAGTGGCAAAGCTCACTATGACCAGGCTAAATGAAAGACCCCAAACTGGAAAATAATAGGAGGGAATGGTAAAAGACATGAATTGATAAATAAAATAAAATAAGTATGTTTCTGGGACTGCATGTGGAACAGATCATTATTTTAGTAGTGTCAAGAGTGTATCTTGGGGGGGGGGGAATGAATATAAAAAGGAATAAAGTGAAACATCTAGAATTAAAGGATGACTGTAGGAAATCTATCCTTGTAAAGAGGACAGGAATACAGGAATTGCAATAGTAATGGATTTGGGGGGGATTTGTTTATTTATTTATCCCATGTAAGTGCCACAAGAACCCAAAACAACAACAAAACAGCTCACAGTATAATAAGCAATAAAATCATTAAAAAATCACATAAAAATCACAAAACAAAATAGGGTGGATCTGATTGCTCTATTCCAACTAGGGACGCCATCTACCTTAAACCCAGGTCTGGGAGAAGCATCTTATGGAATATCAACAGGGTAGGAGCCACACAGATCTCAGGGGGGAGCTTCATTCCAGAGGATAAGCGCTATGATAGAAAAGGCATGCTTCCTGGGTCCCCAATAGATGGCACTGTTTAGTTGAAGGAATTCAAAGTGTGCCAACTCTGCTGGCATGTAGAAGAAAAATTACTGTTAGCAAAACTTTTTGCTAAAAGGTATAACTTTGAGAAAAAATAGTATAGCAGCATATCTTGTTTGCACGTTCTGTTTCCTTCAAATTGAACATAATCATAAATAACATAATCGTAATTCATCTACCTGCTCTCCTGCATCAGTGGTTAGAGCATAAACGTCAACGATTATCTGATTAAAAGGTTAATATGAAGTCTAATTGATAGTATTTAGTCATTGATTGCATTGTAGCAAGCACTGTTCTTGTTAATCCCTTCCTGACTATGAAAGCCACATCATTCTTCTTTGGGGGTTTGTTTTTGTTTTTGTTTTCTTGTATGTGTGTTTGTGTGTGTTCTGAGTAGTAAACACTGCTATTATCTGATAAAGTGTCCGTCTCATTTTTTCAAGGCTAGGATGTTAATGTGTAGTCAATTCACTTCATCTCTCTTTGTGTTGAGTTTTCCCAGGCTTGTTATGTTCCATCTTTCCACTGTAATTCTATCTTTGCAGTTGTGTGCTTTATTTTTTCTTGTGGCAACATTAGACATCTTTCAATCTTTAATACAGCCAAGTTGTAATTAACATTAGTACTCCAAAAAGGTCCTCCATTCTTCCTCAATAGCATATTGAATGCCATCCAACTTGAGGGTCTATTGTCCAGCACTATATCATCAATCACATTATATTGCCTATCCATATGGATTTTTGGTAAAATACAGGAATAATTTACCACTGCCTCCTCCTGCACAGTATGAAATGATGCCTTTGCCACTGTCACTAAAATGATATTTTCTATCCAGCATCTTCCTATATTATTGCTTCCCAAAATAGATTCCTGCTTGCTTTGGCTGAGCAGCTGGGATGACCTTCACACTTTTGATAACCCCATTGGGATTATTTACTTTACCATACACTCTTGGCATTCTTCATTTATTCCTTTCACAAACCCCCACTGTGCCACTAACAGGCAACCCAGCAGGACTTGAGGAGGACTTAAACCTTTACTGAGTTGGAAAACTGTCCTCAATTAGAAAACAAGTTAATATTTTGATATTCTATGCTTCTCCTGTTACTGCATTTTGAAATCCACAGATTTGGAGTCAGGTTAGTCATCTTGCCTACTTAATCTCCAAATGGAAATCAAATGCTGGAAAATATACAAGTTGATGTGCATTCCTCTTGAAGGAGAGGCATTTACACAATTCTTATTTCTGACATTAGCTCAGCAATCACTTTCACTATTGGATTGTTCGTAATAACATGAGAGCACCAGGGGTGTCTTCAAGACCATGAAGTTTCCATGCATCAAGTAGGTCACCAAGTGTTCACAGTGTTATAAGACATCTTTCTACTCTAATAGTGGAGATACTCAACTCAAGATTTACATGGAGCTATCCAAGGTTCTGTTTCCTTTGCTTTTGCCTTTTCTCTTCACTGAAGGCCTCCTTATGATCTTTCCTGACTTCCTTTGTGAACCTTCAGTAGCCAAAAAAACATAGGATTCCCTACATTCAGCCTCAATTCCTGGTGACAACATGGACATGTCCATGTTTTTTTATTAGCAACAGTGTACAAGTGGTTTGTCTTCTAGGATGCTTTCCAACATTTTCGTCTAGCTTACAGTTTGGAAATCTTTGGTGGGCTCCCATCCAAGCAGTCCAACTCTCCTTAGCTGCTGAGCCCAGGGAGGTTGACCAGATGCTATCACATGGTGAGAACTCCAAGTAGTTGTAGATCATGCCAGTAAGAACAGCATGCTCTCTTTTCATACTTTAGTTAAAGAATAAATGAGTAATTTGAAAACTTGCATTGGTTGACATTATAGATGGGACTGAAGTGACCTAATTATACCAGCTGAGAAAATATATATATTCTTGAATATATGGTTTTGACTCCCTGAGTCCATCCTGTGATTGGAGGTGTTGGAGTAATTATAGGAAAGAATGTAACTTCTAGAAAAGTGTTTGCTAGGTATGAATTGTTTAAAAACAGAATGTGCTCATTCTTCAACGGAAATATTAATTTATGAAACGTGGTCAAATAATACTAACAAATACAAATATAAGTAAATAAAAGTATAACATGGATTAATCCACATACTCCATGGCAGCAGCAGAATAAGAATATCCATATGGTAAATGAAATATAGATTTTACATTTTATGGAAAAAAACTAATTCCTGAGTAATTATTCCTGAGTAAATATTCAACCCATTTTGCAAACAAACTAAGACTTGAATGAAACTCCAGAGTTTCCATAAAACAGATCTTTGAATCAAATATTGTAGTTGAAACTAGTGTGAACAAAGGGTGAAAAAAATCTTCATGGCATAAGAATATCTTTACAACTTTTAAAATGAATATGCAAGGTTTTTTTTAAAAAAACACTAAAACTAATTGCATCCTTAGGTTTAGGGTTAAATTTAAAATATTTCAATAAATTTATCAGTTTCCCTTTTGTCACTGCCACTAACATAATGCCAAGTAAAATTACTCATCAAGTAAACTTTTATAATCAGCTTTCTGCAGTATCGCCCTGTGGTATATATTAACCTTTATCTTTTGGTTGATCGATATCATCCCCAAAAATGTAACAGAATACTTGTGTTTGCACATGGGTATTGTCAAAGGAATTGATGTGTTGCATTCCTTTCCTTAAACCCTTCATTTACAAAATTATTTCCAAAAGATGGAGGTGGGCAGTTTGGAAATTAGAAGACATATGGGGAAAGCAGGATAAAGTTGCACTGAAGAAAAGGAGAGCGGAAGAACCTATAACCTCTCCTACTTACTCCAGTGTCAACAAATATGCAACCAATTAATATAATCACAGACTAATTATGGCATGTAGAGAAATAGAGTTTCAAGGGTTTCAAGAAGGTTGTAAAAAAAAATAGAAGGACTTTCCCATTCCACATTGCAGAGGTTGCATCCATGTTCTTATAATTGGAGATAGATGCCCACCTGTTTTGCAGGTGTGGTCTTTCATAGGGAAGTCAGGCAGAAACAGTTGAAAAGGAGAGAACAAAAAGGGTCATTCTCAAACTCTAACCAAGTTGTGTGGGTTGCTTTACAGTTATTTCCCAACAAAATAACACTTCCTAACAAAAGGTAAAACTAGCGGTGGCTTATAGCACAAACATGAAATCAATTTAGATAGAAAATAGCCTCCTTACTAAAATGGCACTGACTCTCAAGAAAGTATGCCTTAAACCCAAATCAAAGCC